TTCATTTCAGCTGTCAGCTTACGTGACAACTGCGATCGCTGTCCCTCTGCGGCATGCACAATCACTCACAGCCAGCTGGGGCCGGGTTCAGCTTCCCCCAGTGCACCCAGAGACACCTCAGGTTGGCACGAGCAATAGCCACACTTGCCACACAGCGCAGTACAGCTTTGCTTTGCCCCGCACACCACTAGATTTTTACCCAGCTAGCAGAAGCTGGGTCATGGCGACACGTCTGCCTCGCTCAGGCAAGCACACAGGGAAGGTTTGGAAGCAGCGTGTTAGGCAAGCGCGTTAAAACCTTCCCTAAGAGGGAAAAGGTGAGAGCTGTGGACCCTCTTTGAGAGCCAAGGGCTCTCTAACAGAAAATCCGCACGCCATGGTGTCGCAGCACGGGAGCTGGGGGCCAGAGCAGCGCTCAACTCTGCCAGGCTGCCCTTGGCATGGCTTGGAGAGCTGCGGAGACCCCCAAGGCAGGAGACCCCAGCTGCTTAGAGCAGAGGAGAAGGCTCAGGGCTCCTCAGGGCGGAGGAGGAGGAGGAGGAGGAGGCAGCGCAGCGGCAGCAGTGCTGGGCCTTTGGTTTCCCCATGCGTTGGCCGGGCACCGAGCGCCATCTCCTGCCGTGTGCAAGGAAGGCAAGGCGCGTCCCTGCGCTCTCCGAGGGAAGATGCTCTGCAGAAGGATGTTCCCAGGAGGCAGGCACCAAACTCCTCCCTTCCCCGCTGCTAGGAAGGATTTGGGGGGTTTAACTGGTTCAACACCCGAGTTCAATCCCTTCCTGGAGAGGGGACATTCATTCCCTCTCCCTGTCGCTGCACTGACAGCCTGGAGAGGGACAAATCACCCAGCCCAGGAAGCCTGCACAGAGCCAGCTCGAGCAAGTTACCAAATCTGAGCCTGTGCAGGGAGAGCGGGAACAACGCTGCCACGCACCCCCCAGCATCTCCCACTTGCTCTTCAAATGACAGATCTGACTTGCTCAGCCTCCAGCGCACAGCACAACTGCAAAGTGAAACAGCGATCCCGGGCACCGGCGGCTATGAGAGCCAGCAGCCCAAGCTCTGCCGCTCGAGGAAGCGGAGAAACATCCGTCTCCTACATGAGGCCCTCCCTCGGCTGCCATAAGGACACACCGAGATGGAAAGAGCAAAAGATTTCAGTTTCCCAATTCAGACCTCTCCCCACATGTCTGAAGAGGGTGCTATGGCAAACCCCACCTTACGTGCATGATTAGAGCTAATTCAGATACGTCAAAGGTTGCAAATCTTTTCTGGAAACATCTATCATTGCTGCTAGGATCAGGAGAGTAATTTTTTCCCCCCCCCAAAGCAAATTTGTGATCTTTAAGCATCTCAGTTGGGCTGGCCCATCTTGGCTACGGGGTCACTTTGTGCCTCCTACATGTTCTCATCTAGCCCACAGCTGTGCTAAGAGGCTTTGCTGGAACAAGCGCTCCCTCTGCACCCACCTCCCCTTCCCTCTTCAGCAGAAAACAAGTGGAAAACTCTCATTCTTTACAAACAAGTCATTGAGAAGCAGACCTCCCCAGCAATTGCTTGTGTTACCTTTTCTAAGAAGCTGTCTTCTCCCTGAGAGCAGTGGGAAAGAGAGAAGAGGAAAAAGTATCGTTAAGAGAGAGAATGCACTCTCAGATTAAGCAGAAACGAATTTGCATTACAAGCACCCACTGAATGCCAGGTCCTTCACACATTTTGCTGACATGGCCAAAGTTAAACCTGTGGCAAGAGATTTGCCTCCCAATTAGCAAAAATCCTGCTCACATGATGCACAACCTTGTCAGGATTTCTAGAAACTCCTCAAAGGGGCCTTGCAGCACCACTGTTCACCACCGAGCAAACAGTCAGGTCACAGGCAGATGAGAAGCGCTTGCCGGGAAGAAGTTCCCCTTCTTGAATCTTCTCGGTCAGAAATAAATATCCCTGTATTATTTCAGCCATCTTCCCTTGTGACCAGGCCAGAGATAAAACATTGACGAGGCTAAATCTGTATTTCTGAGCGTGTGGCAGCTGTGGAGCTAACAGGCCCCCTAAGCAGCTTTGTGTATAGTCAGGGAAATGAGTGTTTGTGCTCAAAACCCCAGGCTGCTCGTCTGTCTCAACCTAATAGCATTAACACACTGCAAGGAGGAGCATGCCAAAGCCCCCTCCAGGCTGCATGTCCAATCCCTCCGGCGATCCTGGAACACAGCATCCGTTTGCCAGTGCAGGCTGGCAGCCTAAGACACTGTTTGGTGGAGTCCGCAGGAGGAAACAGAAGCAGGTGGCCCAAGCTGAGTTTTGGTGGATCGACTTTTCAGGGTGGGAGCAACTGAAACGCATTCAAGGGCTGAGCTGGAAACATAGCTGCAGCCGCCACGGCACAGGGCATGCCTGGGAGGGAGCAGCATCTCAGGCTCCCCTGCGACTTCTGCAGTGCCTGCTTCTTTTGGAGGCTCACTGAGTTTTAACACAGCCGCAACAGACCGGCCTCTTGCAGAGAACAGCTTGCTACAAACAGGAGCTGGCGCAGGTTCTTCTTCCACGGCACAGGGGGAGGGACCGCAGTCACAGGTTTGGGACGCCAGATAGCCACGCTGCACAGGGGAGAGGCTCCTTTCGTAACGGGGTGAGTCATCTCAACAGTCTCGCTCCCACCTACCCGACCGCTCGCCCTGCTGTTCACCCCTCTTCCTGTAGCGTTCAGCACGATTAGCTCCGCGAGACTAACCTGCTCCTGACAAAGATTCTTCAAGAGGCTTTTTAAAGCCCACAGTAGGATCCCAAGAAAAAAATAGGATGAGACACTAATACTGAAATCCCAAAGGTGAGATGCTCAAGTGTCAGCAGCTTCCCCCAGGAGAACCAGGAGAGCCATTTCCAAACAAACTCCCACCTCCACTTGGCTATCCTGCATCAAACTGCCTCTCAGACCCTGACTGACCTGCGCTCTCCAGATCTCCCTCTGCTGAAGACAACAGATACGGTCTAGCCAGGCTGAGAAAAACACTCGCTGCAGCGAATGACAAGCCCTAACACTACATAAGTGCAGGAGGGAAAATGGTTCTTAAGACACAAGCACACTACCTTCCTCGCACACAGTCTAAACATCAGCTAAATACATGTAACTGGACCAAAACGCTTCTGGGCTGTGGAGCGCCTAGCACATGCACCGCCCTCCCTTGCGGAAAGTGCTCAGCTTGTCCTGTCTCCGAGAATTTCTCAACTCAAAGGTATGATCAAAACCAACAGACCTAAAATAGCTCTACCGTGACAGTAGCTTTATAATCTAAGTGACTAAATTTTGCTTTGGGCTGTTACACATTGTATTCCTTGAGCTTGCTTAATGTGTTCCCACTGAAGTACTGCAGTCACACTGACCTCACTACACAAGAGACTGCTTCTTTGCTGCAGATACTGGGACAGGGTGATCTTCTCTGTTTTGCTTCCTGTACTTCTATACGTTTCACTGAATAACGGAAGAAGGAAACCTATAGGTAAAGGAAGCAGAAGCAGCCTCAAAGTACACTTAGAAAAGTAATAGCGTGTGTCTGTGAGGGCAGAAGCTAAGAGTCTAGGCCCTAGTTCCTATCTATCAAGCAAGAAGTCAGCACTGAGCAGGAAAAAGCAGGTGGAAAAGCCACCAAGACTGATGAAATGCTCCAGACCAAGTTCAATACATTTCTAGAACAAGACTGACTTTCAATCAAATCCTGAAAAGTATGAGGAGCCTGAGGCCTGGATTAGCTGCTTGAATTGAGGAGGCAAACACTGTATCTTGGCACCCAGATTCTGCTTAGCCTGATCTTGTGATTAAAAAAGTCAAAATTCTGGTATAAAAGTGGCCTTTTGTATGTTGGGCCTGTGAGAAAAGTAGACACCTATAACACGAGGTGGGAACTGGAAGAGGCAGCAAGAGGCATGGTAGAACTGCTAAAGGGAAGAGAAAGAAGTGTAAGCAGATGGGAGTGGAAGCTGTCAAATCTACAGATGTGAAAAAGCAGCAGCTCACTGGACAAAAAAAGTGCATGTAAGGATGAGACTGCAAGACATGAGAAGAGAGGAAAGGTACCACATGTCAGAGACACTAGAAGAACTGGGCTAATCTTCCAGGTGAATAAAAAAGAAATTACTTTCCTGGCTAAACAAGAATGGGTAAATAGACTAAAACTCAGGAACTGCTAAACCTCACTGAAGCAAGGCCAGGAATGGCCATCAGAGGAGAGGAATGAACGCAGGCTGAAAACAAGAATTAAGATCCCCCAAATGGGGCTTAATCTCAGAAACAGCCATGAGATACCAAAAAGACAAAAGGTGACTAGGGCACAACTGCACCCCCTCACGTGCACGCAAGTGGCTTCAGAAGGATGAATATTGATGCCAGGGGCCGGTGAAGCTTGGGGAGAGGAACAGTTATCTCTGCACCGCAGAAGAGCTTGCTCACAGAGGTTGGTGTGAGAGGAACTGGCCAGAGAGGCTGTGAGACTGGCCTTTGCTGAGCTGTACTCATCAGTACACCTAAGAGCATCAAAGTCCTTTCTTCGGTCTTCCTGCTTCTGCTTGTTCCTTCCCCTGAGCAGCGCGAATACCACAAGCCTCCAGAAGGAAAAGGATCCTGGAGCCCTCGCCACCGCAGAAGCCTAGGCACCTTGGAGGAGAGCATTTCAGTCATACCTCTTACGACACACCAGTGCCACCCAGCTGAGCCTGCCAGCACCAACACGACAGTAACACAAAACACAAGGTGCTGGCATCGCTTTTTTGTCCCACCAAACAATATATTGAACCTACTCAGAAATAGGGGATAAAGTACAGGCTGTCAAAAGCCACTGGTTGTGGTGGAGGGAAATAATAAAAGAGCCCCTCCAAGCTCTGGGAAACGTAAATCAGCTCAGAGCCTGCAGAGCTGACTCAGGCTAACGGCATTACTCCTCCTTTTAGGAGTAAACAGAAGGGAATATGCTCTCTCCCTGTTAAGGGAGCTGCTCCAGAACGCTGCTACTCACCAGGTCAATGAGTTTGGTGACTGGAACTTCTCGGATCGGTCGCCTCATTCGGCATAAGGCCTCCAGGGAGGTGCCAAAGCAGCTGGGCAGGTAGGTCCCACTGATGGTAAGGAAATAGTCCTTCCCTCGGTCCAAGTGAAGGACAAGAATATCCTCAATTTTATCCTCGCCAGAGTTCAGAAGGGTTACCGAGTCCTTGCTGACGTACACGTCCAGGGAGATGTCCATGCTCTCATCTGCAACAGACAGGAGCTCTCAAGAACACATAGACGCTCTCCAAAACGGACGACAAGGACAAACATACAGCGGCAGGGACAAAGGCCACAAAACTAGGATGACAAACAGACAAGGATGATGGCAAGAAAGCTGAGACACAGGAAAGACGGAAAGGACTGAACGGAGATGGGGTGGCAGTCTACACCAGCACACACTACAGAAACTGTAGTAAAACTCACCTGGCTCCAAGTAACCTTCACAAGGCTCGGCCCGAAGCCATGGCTTACAGTAGTGTCGATCGTTGAGCTTTGGGATGAAGGAGAAGTGACAGGGGACCTGCCCATTATTGGTAATCTGGAACTTCTGCTTCTGCAGCTGACGGAACTTCACATTCTCAAACTCAAACTGCAGAGTAAAGAGAAAACACAGATCACATTAGCGGCCACGATGGGACACACAGCTAGGTACCCACACTCTGCAGTGGCAACCCATGACTGAGAGGTGCCCACACAGTGCAGAACTCCTAACAGAAGACCTGCCAAGAGGCCAGGACAAGACGTCCCTTCTAATCCAATTCCTGATCATAAGATAATGTATAAAGTTCAATTTCCTAGAACGCAGTCTTTAAAAATAGTTCTGGCACTTCTAAGGCTGCTGTGTTTGGGAAGCGGACAGCGATTCAGGTTTCATCCTCACTTCTCTGCTGCTTAGCTCCAGCGAAGGAAGAAAGTCATTCTCCATTCTGTCCATTAAACGAACGATGTCTTCGAACACCTTCCGATACCTCTGCTCATCCACAACCTTTACCTGTGGAAGAGCAGGAAACACTCAGCAAAGTTTCTGACCAGCTTCACAGGAACTCTTTTGATCATGAGTAATCTGTAGAAGTGAAATATTTCTCTAAGCACCCACTATATGCAGCTGAAAGTCTAAGAGAATTTGCATGCATGGGTGCACCTCCAAGCTGCATCTGCAACTTTACGCTTCTTTTACTCCTACAGATGTTACTAGGCTCTTTCTGGCCACTGATTACACTACTGGGAGGTTACTGGGGGTGATCTCTGTGGGACAGCATTGGCATCCCGCAGCATTACTCATGATTCTCCAGAGGAAGAGGAGACAGGCTCTCCCTTCAGGAGACTTGAGCTACCTAGGGAGCAGGAGGTAGCAAAAATGGACATGGACCGTCTCTATTCAGTAAGCTAGGAAACCCAAATCTGCTGCCAGCCATTCACCACCAAAGAAATTCAGATGTGAACCAGTGACACACTCTCTTAACACATCAGAGGCAACATTGCAACAGCAGGCACAACTACTTACAGGTTTCTGCTGTGTCTCTTTGCGGAAGAGAGAAAACAGTAGCTCACCCATTCTAGTACTAGATATCATGGGTTATACCCCAGAAGATAAGTGGCATCATTAAAGCAGTCAATGGGCATGTCTTTCTATTTACTACATGACCACACCTGCTCAGGTAAACTCCAGCGGTCACCCGCGTTACCGTGGCGTACTGTCCCGGTGCCACGCAGCAAAGCTGCACTGCACATGAAGACCACAGCTGTGAGTTGTTTGCTGAGCAGAGGCTGGCACGGCTGCCGAACAGCAGCACACCTACACAGCGGACACACCTTATTCTTATTTACTCTGTCCCCTTGCAACAGTGTTAGCAGAGGTGCCTTGACTATGTAACCACCTCCCGAAGGAATGCGTGACGATACTGTGATCCTACCCTAGCATATAAAAAAAGCTACCTTGATGCGGAAAAGTGCGCTGACTGGCTTGTGGTCACTAGTCTTCAGATCCATATGACTGCAATACCGGAGCTGATTTATGTTCCCTCCTCTCCAAAGGATTCGATCACACCACGCTGGCACACGACACTTTCCACTACAAAGAAAAACAGGTTACCAGGGAAATCCAACAATCCTAATAAACCATCCAAGTTGTTCCTCTTCCCAGCCAGGCAGCTCCCTCCACCCCCACCATCACTGACTGCATCAGGAGTGACGGGATGAACTCCTATCACTTCCCTCAACTTGAGTACTATGTTATTTTTTCTGCTCTCTTCCCCTTTCCAGCATCAGGAAACAAAAAAAACCTCAAACAAGACTGTTTCCACAGCCTGAAGCCATGTGTACTGTGACCCAAGCTGCACTAGTTTCTTTTGCTGTCAGATCTTTCTGCCCACTACAATCTGATCCATCGCTTATTGTTTCCACTACAGAAAGTCTACTCAGCTATTACTATTATGTTATGAAGTCTGAATCCTGGGTTATCCTTCTCCAGATTAACTACTGTGCTGATTCGTAAACACAGGCAGAGTAAAATCCAAGCGCTGTATGGTTTGAAAACTCCTTCTTGGGAGCTTCTCCATTTAGAGCAAGCTTCTGCAGCAGATGCATAAATGTCTGTGGGAGGCACCAAGCAGAGAGCAGCAAGCAGGAACCCCTGCGGGTGTGTAAGTCAGGGGACAGGATGACTCAGAGGGAGCATTTCCTTATCTCTTCAATTCCGTTTATACCATTTGTCTGTCCCTGGTAGCAGAAAAAACCCTCCAGTGCAGGGTCACCTGTGAGTTCATGCTTTACCTGCCTTCATCTATTGGAATCAGCAGCAACCGAGGTTTTAAGGCATGTGCCTGGTCAAAATACAAAGGATCTACTTATTTCAGAAAGTAGGGGAAATGACGAGTACAAACTTGTCTGTGCACTCCAGCCACCACCTTAACACTGAGAGGTATTTCCAGCTCTAGGAAGCAGGAAATCAAGTTTTGTGAGAAAACTCTTTTTATGTCATAGGTAAATATGTCCATTGGCAGCCGATTTACCTGGAGTCCCAGCGATCTGTTTTAGGGTCATATTTATACGTGGGGATGAATTTAATCTCTCCCTCGGTAAAATCCGCAAATGCTTTCTTCTGAGTGCGCTGAATATTCAGCTAAAGCAGAAAAAGAACAGTTTAAAAAAAAAAAACAAAACCAAACCCCACAAACCACCCCAAACACCGCCACACACACACAGAGCAGTGCCAGAGAGCAGATCCATAGGCAGAGCAATCGCAACCTGTGGCCATGGGATTCACCAGACATCCCCCAAACTGCCTCTCAGACCTTATACCTTTAACAAAGGTAAAAATCCAACACTTCAGTGGAATGTTTTCTAAATAGACTGAATACAAATTGGCACAGCGCTGCTTACCAGACCATGCAGACAGCATAAAACAATAGTTAAGGGAAATATTAATTGCTCCACTTGTGCTAAATGCCTTCATTAGTTTTCAGGCTTAAGCATCACCATCATTAATATTTCACTGCCAATCATTTTAGCAAAAGCCTCCAGGAGTGCGCTTGGCTGACAACCTGACACTACTTTCCTTTTCTCATTTACTCTTCTGAAAAATTTCCTAGTTGTTTTCCTCACAAAAATCTAAGCTGCAGTTTTTTCTGCATGAAGCTCTGCAGTACAGCAGAAATGAGCTACAGAACAGAATAAATCAGATTTACTGTTAAATTGTGTGTCAGAGATGATACTACGCCGTTTCTGTTCATGTTTCACAGGTACAATCCTTCATCTTAAAGGCACATCTGGTGCTGTCTTGGTTTTCAGCGTGCTGCAAAGAAATGCTGAGCGGGGAAGACCACAGCACAGAATTTAGGTCAGACTGGCTGAGCAGAGAGCCTTGGCTACAAGCGCTGGTCTCCAAATCAATACCTCTTCCAGAACACTGATTACAGCAGCTTTTGTTGCTGTTACAAATTCCTGTGTTCTAGCTTGTAGTCTGCAGGTAAGACAGAACTCTTCCAATGAGATGCAGACACTTCTATGGTAGTTGCCCGCGTCATCCAGCTAAGCCTGGCATTTTTGTTTAGGGGGTTGATGCCACCAGGACACCCAGAGCTCTGTCTAGTGTCTAGCATCTGCATCTATAGACACCTATCGCAGAGTGTCTGCCAGCTCCTCCCAAGCACAGGCACATCTTAAACCAAGATGACCTCACAAGTACGGAGCAAACACAAGCGGAGTTCACTGACCTGGTCGTATATCAGCAATTTCTGAAGCTCATTCTTACTGATAAGACTTTTCACCTCACTGGCATCAGGGAGACAAAGCCTGTAGTTCAAGTCTCCTAGCCAGATGACAACACTGAAAACAAAGGCAAACATGGAAAAGAAGAGCCAGTAGTTAGTATCGCAGGCCACGCAGGGAAGAAGGGGCGTAGGAGAACAGATGGTTGGTTGCTGGTGATTAAGGTCGAGACACATGGAAGACAAAAGGAGCCTCGAAAGATTGAGTCTGATGGCAGAAATCTCTAGCGGCAGCAGATACCACAGTCCATCTAAGTCCATCTCTTAGACAGACCACTAAGTCCATCTCCTTTGGAATCCCACACGGGATTGAAGACAGTTTAATGGGAGATACCTGAGTTTGCCTCAGTCTGAAAAAAGCCTGAGACCACCACCAACTCTCTCATGAAGTGAAACCAGTGCATCTCACCAAGCTCCATAGCCTCCCAAGCTACACAAAATCCCTCTAGTATTCAGGCTCTTCTTGTGTGCAGAAGAGGGCAATGACAGAGCTCGTTACGCAGAGCCTGCCTGTCAACCAGTGAGGCAGGCTGATGCGCATGTATCTGCGTGCTCTCGCCTCGTGTGATACCATGGTTCTAGCACTCCGTTTTCCACTGCCTTTCTTTCAACCGGATCAGGCCGCTACCGTATCATCTACCTAGGAAAGACTGACTGATGCAGAATTGGCAAAAGCAGAGTTAGGTTCCTGTTGAGTTTATGACCTCCGGAACGTTATTGTCCTATCTCACCCATCAGCCATACCTCATCAGCACCTGCTCTTACTCTGCTCCTCGCTGGGCTTTCGAACAGACTTACAGCCTTCACATTACCAGCAGCTAAAGAAACACTTGTGGTATTCACTCTTTACTCCATAAAGGTTTCATTTAAAGATTAAAATCTAAACCCCTCTCTAGTATCAAAGCTCTTCCTGTTTATAGTCAGACCTCAAAATTTCCCTTACTGGATTATCAAGGATAATCTAATATTTGAAGTTTTTTCTGAACTAATCCACTCTCCATTTTATTTGCAGTTTTTAAATGGTTTAAATATTAACTACAGAAGTATTAATCATTTGTATCAGATTTAAGAAGATTTATATGCTTTGTTGTACACATGTTTGAGTTTGATTTGGATTATTCAGCACCACTGTCACCTCATTAAAAATAATAATAATAATTAAAAAAAAAAATTCAAGTATTGCCCACATATCATACAATTCATTTAAAAAGAAACTGAAACAGCAATTGTAAGCTCTTGTTACTCAAAAAAGCCTAAACAGCATAGCCTCTGCCCATCGTTTTTCTTCTTCTATCCTTCTATCCCTTTTCTTCCCCTACTCATACTCCCATTTCCCACCACAAAAACACCCCTCAGTTTCTTCAAGCCCGGTAACGTTCAGCCATTGACTCAGGAACAGTGCCTGCTGAAATGGAAGTATTACACACAACAAGCAAGGAAAGGGCCCTCAGAGACAGGCTGCACTAGTCAGCACAGTGAGAAGGTGACCACACAGTTTGACTGCAAGAGCTCTAGCACACCAGAGGCACTGGCATTTTCTGTTACATTATTAAGCCAGAAAACATCTACATGAAATCTCCTGTTGCTGTGATTCTGACTTGATTTGGATTTTTCAACACCGCTTCAAAAGGGAAAACAGCAAAATAAACTTACTCGTGTTTCATGATGTTGAACTGAGGTAGATTGTCATCAAGGGTTACAAAACTCATCCGAGCACAGATTTCCTTATAATCCTGATTTCGCCGCTCAAAGTCCTCCACGTGAGCAGCGAGGTGGGAATTGACAATGCAGAAGGTCGTGTTGTGGAACACGAACCTCACCGCCACACCGCCCTTGTTGCCCTGGGGACAGCAGGCATCAGCGGTCGTTAGAGAAGGCGGCAGGTGAGGCAGCAGGGAGGAGACAGGGATGGCAAAAAACCAGACTGTGCTGTTTCTTGCTGGATACACAGAAGCAACAAATCGGCCTCGGTGACTCACCATCTTTCCCATGACTCCCGTGCCCACAGACGCCGTCATGATCTCTCTGATATTGCTCAGCTGATCCTTCTTAGCAAATATGAGCAACATCATCCCAACTAGACGGACCATTTGCACCTGCAAAAATAAAAGGGATCCTGAGTTCCCAGAAACGCAGTGGAAATGCAGTTCTAATTTGCCTGCTCCGCCTGATGTTCTGCTCCTCTGGCTCTCCGCATTCCTCATCATGTTTTGTACTCAATTCCTGCTTGCACCACCCCCAAAAGGACCTCCTCTCCCAAAGCAAGGTTCTGGAGGACAATCTGTCATCCCCCAACAGCCATCGGCTGTGCTGAGCTCACTACATTCCCCATTCTGGTGCTTCCCTACAAACAGGGCTGTCTTGCGAGGTAACAGAAACTTCATAAACGCACAGCAGATCTGTTTGTGCAGTCTCAGCCTTTTACACTGAGTTGTGCTCTAATCAGCAAAGCAACCAGAGGAAGATACCGAGTGCTCTAGTTAGGCACGTCGCAGAGAGCTGCTGGCTGTGGCCGTCACTGAGGGCTGCAGGTCCAGCTGGGAGTTGGTGCTCACCTCTGCTTACTCAGGACTACAGCGGAGCCAGTGACATGTGCTAGAGGCAAGGGACAGAACAGTTCTTATTTCCTGAGGCAAACGTGCCTGACACACGGGGTATCAAAAGGCAGCCATCTCCAAGCTACACAAACTTTTCAGAAAACACTTGCTCTCCAATGCAAAGAGTCTCTTTCTGGAGCTAAGAGGTTCTCCTCTACTGCAGCGCTCAACCCACAGGTGTTAACACAGGGCTGACGTTAACACAGGTCTGCCACTGATTCTTTTACACATGCTAAGCCAAAGCGCTTCCCAGTCCATGACCTCCTTGTACCTTCAAAACAGTGGGGCCACAACTTCGAAAGCCAGCGACAAGGCCTAATCTTCTTGAGCACAGTCTACACACTCACTTTAGAGGCATAAAACATTAAGATGTGTTGGGATTAATTCTACATAGTGAGGGAAGAAGCTGAAATCAAAGAATTCCACTGGAAGAGCCCAAGTACTCAGTCCACGCTGCAGGAGTGGAATTTGCATGTAACCACAAGTCTTATCTACAGTTTCAGTCACTTCCCCCTGCCTGCAGCCATATCCTGTTCTCTCCCTTTCACAAGGGTGGGAGAAATTCACCTAAAACTCAAGTAAAGCAAAGGGACGGGGGCATGAGCCTCTCCGCGGTTCAGGTCACAACCCCTGGCTCCCTCTCAATGAATCTCAGTTCGGCAAGGTGCTCTCTTTTCCTGCTGTGGTTACCTGCAACACGCCACTGAGCTCAACTCAAAGCCAGCAGGACAGGGGTGTGACAGTGAACGCATGGGCTAAGGAGGAAGGGGAAGCTGGTTAATGTATTTAGGGCTGGTGCCTACAGCAGAAAGGTTTGCTACAGCAGACAGAAGAAACAACAGCTTGCTTCCAACAACCAGCCAGAATAAAGTCCTGCTGCCACAACAGAAGCAATTCTGTCCTGAGGCATTAGCCTCTGGAAGATTTCACCTCATAAATTATCCCATTCCTTCAAGGAAAAAGTATTAATTTAATTTATCAGCTCAAGACATACCTTGCTTCTATAGTACAAGGGTGAGAGGGTAACACAGATGAAGAATTTGAACCCGCTGCTACGACTCTGTTGAGCATACTACTTCCCTGACACCCACCTCATATTTTACAAAGTTATTTACTCCTCATCTTTGTAAATTTCCACTTCAAAGTACAATCTACCCCTACAACTGTGGGGCCGAAATAGACTCTGCAGGTTTAATCTGGCATACTTGACCCATGCACAGGTACACACATGCCAAGTATACAGCCTTGGTTTCTCCGATCACCGCTCTTTGGGTCAGGTGAGGAAAGGGGAAGCCCATTTCTCTTTTCCTTCCAATCTTGCCAACTCTATGACAAGACCCCACAACGCTGAGCAGAACTCACTTTCTTATACTTAGCCTGAGGGTGCAGGGACTTCTCCACAGCAGTCAGCCATTCTTGCTCCTTTACAGAATCTAAGTAGAAAAAAGCCTCCGTGCTGAGGTCCAGCTCCTGGAACCTAAAAAACCAAGCCAGCTTAGCACATCCCACCTCTCCTACAGATCACCCTCTTTCTACAGGAAGGTCCAATGTGAAACCTCTAGCAACGGCTCTTCTTGGAAGAGAAGCAACTTATTCCCACTTGCTAAATAAAGCAGCAGAATTTCACCACAGTGCCTCTGAGACCCTGCTGCAATACACTCCAGTAACCATCTCGCTGACAAGTATTACTTTAGGCAGAGGACAACCAGAGAGCTCTGTGGATGCCTCAAGGAAAATCCATTTTGTTATGTCATGCCAGCCTCATTTAACTCGATACTCTGCCTCATCCAAATGGCTCTTTCCCCTCAGACAGCTCTTCTGAGACATAGCTCAGCTTTGTGGAACCTCTGAGAACGTGACAGGAACTTAAAACAAATGCAGCCCACCAGTATCCAAGCAAGAGCAACAAGAAACCCAGCACCGTAAGTAAATACGGGGTCATTGCTACTCACCCGATGCAACAGAAGTCTGGAGGCTCTGCGTCGCACATCAGCCAGGGTTCCAAGCTGCTGTCTGGAGACTGCCCGTTCACATTCCATGTTCCCACAAAAAATCTACAACACAAAAGCAGCACAACTGTTAGAAAACACAACCACCACCTCATCAGCCCAGACTCTCCAGTGCACGCACAGCAGCATTCAGGCTGGGAGCAGACACATGTGAGCTGTCCATGCGCAGGGCCATGCCAACGGTGGGGTAACCGAAAATTCTTCTAGGCTTGGCTCATTTTCAGTGACAACCATCCCGGGGATTTTGCAGAATGCTACGAAACTGAAGACACTTCACCAGGGCCAGCCAACATCTGGCTCTTTTAACATCATGTCATGTGGGGCAACACTAAGACAGTGTTGGGATGGCTGCCTTTACCCTCTTTCTGCCCAACTGCTTCAGTCTTGCTTGAGGGTCAAGAGATCTGACACACATAGGGGAAAAGACGCAAAAGGAGAAGCTACACCACAGGCACCTACTGACTTTCAGTCTGCACCGATCCTTGGGTAGCCACCCAAGCCGGCCACACATCAGCAGTTGTCAGATTTCAAACCTGGGCTAGATCTGAGTTCACAGAAGAGATTAAACAGCTTTGTCTCTACGCACACTGTTCCTCAGTCACAGCTCTAACCTGAAGTTGTGAAGGTTGACATATGACTTCTCTCTCTTGGCAAGCAGATGTTTGATGAGGCCTTCTCTTTGGCCCGACTGGGTGCTGGGCAAAAACATTTTGCGCATAGTGTTGGTCACTTTTGGCTGGTCTCTTGACGTACCTTCTCTCTCTCGGTGAAATCTAAGAAGGAAGCAAGAGCAGAATTAAAACTGGTTCTGCTGTCTAGGAAGAGAAGGAAAAAAGGGAACAGATTCACCACGTTACTTACTGCCTACTTCGAAGCACAGGAGGAGGCGGGGGTTCCCGCCGAGATCCCGTTTGGTGGTTTTGCATGTTTCTTTTCTCTTCTAGGCTTAGAGCGTTGAAGTCATCCTCAAACCCCAGAGCTCCTATCACGAAAAAAACAAGCACAATGCCCTGAGAAACAATTTAAAATAGCTTAGATCAAGAAGGAAAAAATACAACTCCACAGAAAGTGAAAAAGCAAATGATAATAGCAATATGTCAACCCTGATGACTCAGGGAATGAGAGAAAGGGGCACTGACCACAAATCAAGGCAGGAGGGAGCTTAACATACACAAACCAAGGCACTAGGCAGAAGACAGCACTCAAGAAGGAATGAATGGTCCAGGGCAACAGAATCCAAAGACCGAGGTGTTTTATTTTGCTCAGGGTGAAGTAAAGTGAGGAAATGGGCCAGACTGCTGAGTGCAGGGTCAGACACAGCTCCCTATCCCTGAATGTCCTGTTACTGTACAGACCACAGATCATGCAAAGGTGACGGTGACAGTCCGTTCAGTACCCAACGAAAAGGCCTGCGATAGACCTGGGAGGTTCTTCTCCACCTGATGCCAGCTGGCTGAGTCCTTAGGTTCAGGAAGAGACGCTTTCAGGTGGGCTGGAAAAAAAATCAGCCCTCTCAGAAACTGCTGGCAGTCAGAGGATTTCACAAACACAACTATAGCTCTGCTTACCTTCCTGTATGCTCTGCACTTCTGAAAGGAATCCTAAGCAACGCTCCTCATCAGGGATTTCAAAGAGCCGCTCCGCTGTCTCATCACCTTGTATCCGGACCTTACAGCCTGCTTCAGGCACAAACACAGACTCACAGAGTCAGTCAAGGCTGGTTCACAGCTATCATGCCCTGGAGGGTGACCAGGCTTTCTAGGTATCCTTTGAGCTCATCAATGAAAGCCAACTTGCAGCTATTGTTTCTGATGGAAATCTGCACCTAAGCTAGTTTCCCTGTGCTTCTGAGATCCCCCCCTGTCCCCTGGCTTAGGGTATCATCAGTCATGTTTTCCTGGTTTTAGGAATACTTCTTGCTACTGCGATCTCACAGAGAAAAGCTCTAAAAGTAGTACGAAAAATTTCTTGAAAGGGAAAGCAGAACTGGTGAGTAGACAGAGCACTGTCAACACTGAAAAAGGCAGAGTAACCTAGGCCCAAGTACAGGTCAAAGAAACGGAAGGGAGATGAGAATGGTTCAGAGTGCAGTGCAGGGCCTTGAGAAAAGATTTAAGAAGTTGAAGTGTGGCCAGTTGCCAATACTTCAAGTCTGGGCATTTAAGACCGTGTCACGACACTGACTGTCTAAAAGAACCAGACAACACCACACTGGAGGAAATAAAATCCCCGCTTGATTGAAAGACAAACACACAAAGTACGGAGGAAGATTATGAAGTGGTCAGTAAAATAAGCATGCGTCAGTGCCCAACAGGCAGCCTGTTCCCTGAAAGGAGCTTTAGCTGCGTGACTGCAGTTATAAAACTTACTGTTTGTAGCTATATCAATCAGTAGAGTTTCTTCTGCCTCTGGAAAAGAGAAAAACAGGATGAAGAGAGTTCACACTGAATGTTGCAGTAATTGAATACTCAGAAAAGCATGTTGCCTGCTACTAGCCACAAAAGAGTCCTAACAGAGGAACAAACAGCTTTAATTTACATCTGTACTATTAATGATGGCTCTGGCAGAAAGAATGGTCATATCTGGACAGCCTGGACAGTCATTTCCCACAATCAAATTGTCACAGGGGAGACTGCTAATATTCAGAGTTCTCGCACACCTGGATGGTTTGTTCCACATCAGCGTAGCACCTTTGGGAAAGATCAACCTGACAACGAACTTCAGAGCTTGTCAACACAGCAAAAACGATGGGCAGAATCACAGGGAATTAGACAGAAAGGTATATGCTAATCCAGGAAAAAGTGCTTATATTCCTGAACAAGCATTTGCCCCAGGGACACACACTGCTATTTAAGTTCTTCCAAGACAAGGCCTAAAGCTCTTTGCCACCCCATGGGTGGCTCTTTGGACTTCACAGCTTGCCAGACCTTACAGAAGTTTTGATTTAAACACGCAGGAATCAGACTAAAGCTCCCAACTCTTGCCATTATGGAGAAGACAGACAGACAGACATCCACAGACACCAATGTCAGCGATTGCAGCCAAGTGCTGAGCACGCTGGCTCTGTATGATGCCAAGCCCACCCCTCACCCGAGCCAGCCAAGTTCCTCACAACTGTTTGCTGACATGGAAAGACTCCCCACTCGGATGAGAAAGAAGCAGGATTCCATAAACTGCAAGTTTTAGTTTCAGGGGGAAGCATTCAATCTGTATGGGCGCTCAGGAGACAGGTCAAGAAATGCCACTAAATGCCAGTTTTGCCGATAAACAGCAGTGGAATCCCACCACCTCAAGAGAGCCCACTCCAGGATAGCCCGTACCTTGTACGCATTTAAAGCGGCTATTGATGGGAATATAATCCGGATCAGAGTTTTCTTTCTCCTGTGAATGGATAACTATCCTGGAGACAGAAAAAAGGCTTGTAAAAACACAGAAACAACTCCCTCCTCATACGCAGGCAAACGTTAGCAGAGTCACGGGAGCTGTATTTACAGAGAAACGCAGTGTTTGATTTCTGTTGCTGCACTACTAGGATAATAGACAAGAAAGGGAAAAAAAGCTCAGAGCCATACAGGATGTGAGTGCAAACACACGAGCGTGTGGTGAGAAAGTAAGCGCCATTCAACTTTCCCTGCTACAGGGCAGATTCAGCGTTAAGGTGGCAGCAGCTTCAGCTCCCTGGAGAAACCCAGGGGAGCAGGAGAACGCAGCGGGAACGCACAGCTAGAAAGCAAATTTCTCCCGGCCCCGTTCGCAGGACACCATCTCCTACGCCGGAGGGAGAACGCTGGGGGAAGACGCGGCTGCCAGAACCCGCTCTGCCTCCCGGCCCCTCTCCGAACACAGCAGCTCAACTGCTTTTCAGTTTCCCAAGACAGTCACAGCGGCCGTGGCCAGCTCGGTACGGGCTTGGTGGCCCGGGGCCTCGGCGGCCAGCTCGGT